CATCTTTGCCGATTTTTAATTATTTTTTGGCACTGACAAATGCCCTGAAAATTTACAGATATGTAGTTTACATAATCAATAACTCATTAAAATTTTTTCAAAAAATAATAAAAGCTTTTAGGCCCCGAAATAAAGTGAAAACAAAAAGCTAAAAGTGCAAAAAAACAAAATAGTGAGTGGGCGAGCACGTTTTGACACCCCCATCTTTGACGATTTTTAATGTTTTTTTGGCTTCGCAGAATGGCTTCAAAATTTATAGGCGTGTAGGTCGCATCATAGAGAACTCACAAAAAAAAAAATCAGAAAAAAAAACGTATTTTTAGGCCCCGAAATTGTTTTTGGCGGGGGCCGAACCTGGTGGTGTTCGGCCCCCGAACGGGACCCCGAACGCCCGAACGTTCGGGGGCCAGCCCGGGGCCCCCTATTGATATATTCAATTATGTCATATGGAATAATTATATCATATTAAATATTGTATACAGGTGGGAGGTGGTCATCAGTGACTACCAAGCTTGAAATACCACTCTTTCATCTAAGGGTGTCTAACTGCCAAAACAATTGGTTTGGTAGAACCTTGCATGGTGGGTAGTTTATCTGGGGCGGATGCCTTATCTGGGGCGCTTCCAATTTCCATTTTACGTTTTCGAAAGAAACAAATATTGATTTTGTCATAAATTCGACAGAACGATTGGCTATGAATAATCATTATTCTATTGATGATTGTATTTGAGTATAAATTGAATATTTACACAAATAAAAATGAAATAGGAAATATCAAATAAAAAACAATACATTCAATATTTCTCTGAATATCAAAGCTCGGCACATATCTGAGATATTTTGATTCTTAACTGGTAGTCTATTTCAACTTCAGATAACTTTTTTCTTGCATCTTTTATTTGTCGACTTAAATTCTCTTGTGATTATACCCAGAAAAGTATAAACTGAATAAAATCTTAACACATCTTATAATGACATACAATAATAATAAACATAAGAGAGACAAGATTAATATAGAATATAATCATAAATTCTAGGCTACCAGAGTGGCCCGGGTCCACTTGCCCGGCCGGGCCAAAAAGGAATTAAAAAAATAAAAAATAAAAATTATTTTTCAATTAAAATTTTTATTTTAAATTTGGTACAGAATTTCGATGTGACCCTGAGGCAAAAGTTGTTCAATTTATTTTTCTGCATAACATAGGTTTTTTTTCGGATTTTTTGGATTTTTTTTATTTTTTTTTTTGGGCCGGGACCTTCCCTGGTGCTTGCACGGCCGGGCCGCCCGGGAAAATAGGGTGACCCGGGCGGCCCGGCTGGTAGTCTAGCATAAATTTATATTCATTCTAGTATAATATCATATTACCATAGAATAATAGGAGGGAGGGTAGGGAGGGAGAAAGAGATGGAGCTGGAGGAGGAGAGGGAGCAGGGGGAGAGAGGGGAAGGACGTGCAGAGGAGGGAAAGGAGGGAGAAGAGGAAAAGTTAGGGGAGAAGTCGGGGGGCTGGGGGGGGTTGTTCAAGGTGTGAAATGGCACCACATGGTTGCGCCACGTGGCGCAAATTTTTCGGTTTCTCTCTTTATGTGTGTGTGTGTGTGTGTGTGTGTGTGTGAGAGAGAGAGAGAGAGAGAGAGAGAGAGAGTTCATCGGTCTGTTGCCTCCACCCTTCGTGCATCACCTGACGCATTTGCTTTTGCGAGCGAAGCCGCAACAGGTCATCTGGTCAGTAGTAGAAGTTCCTCCTTGTACACCAGCTAGGTTGTGATTGGATATCACACGGTCAAGGCTGAGGATTCCTGTCTGCGTCTCATGGGTTGTACCTGACTGGAAGAGGATTGATAGCAAGACTTGTATAATGGCAACACCAATATGACCTCCTTATCAACCATCCACTGGCTCTAAGATCTCAGTAGCTATTTGAGGGAGGAAGGGCGAAGATGAGGCAACAAACTTTGGAGATAGAGCCCTGCGCTTGATCCTAAGGCCCTGCTACTCAAGTCCTCAGAAGGAAAGGAGTTCACAATCAGATCATCTCACTAGCATCTCAGTTGCAGTTTTCTTCCTTCTTTCTCAGTCTATGTCCGGCCCCGCAGCTCTCTAACGCTACGAGAGGCCCTTATGCTCGCTCTAACTCTTCTCTAATCTGCATTTTTTATGGAATTACCAGAATGGAACCCTCACTCTACGAATAACAAGCCAGCCTGAGATCAGCTTGGTGGTTCACTCTTTTTTTTTTGTCTGAGCATGCAGTGAGCGTAGACTTTTTGACGGGATTTTGTGGGGGCTCTGCCTCTTTGTCTGTCTAGCCATGAGCCATCTATGCTGGTCTTCTGCCAGTGATTGTGCCAACGACTGTCAAGGAGATAAAGAATGCTCTTCTGCTTACAAGTAATGAAAATACTAAAAAATATTCTTTACAATCTGCTATATTTTTCTGCTACTTCTCCTACATGCAAAATACTGATATGGTTGGCGTGAGCTGCACCATCTAACCCTCTCAGCTCCCTTCTGTGTATTTTCAACTTTTTTGTATTGCAGAGTATTGCAAGACGACTACCTCGAGGTCCCGGAACAACACCAAAGCGTGTAGCCCCTCATGGGAGGGGTTGAAATTTTTTGATACAAATGTTGCGGGTAATGATGATATGGACAAAGTCAAAGCAATTTGGATGTCTGCCAAGCCAAGAAATGAATGAGACGACGGTGTCGGTGTTAGGGGGAGGAAGGGGGTGGGGAGGGGGTGGGGAGGGGGCAGGGTGCATGCATGGGAGGGCTCTGAATGGCTTTGGCCAGTCATCGCACGACGAGCACCGGGGTCAGACACCTTGACAGCAAGGCAGCATTAAAGAGCTAGAAATTGTTGGTTGTGTTTGTGGTAAGGCGCAGTGACAAATAAAATGATGGAGGGAAAGGTAACTGCCATCAGGGTCAGGGGTGGAGTATAGAACGACGTTGAGTTGTGCCCGCAAAGTTTCGAGTGCCATTTTGATGTGGCATCGAGTCTTGAGTGATACCAAGGGCACTGCTGAAGTACACCTGAATGCCATCGCTAGATCATGGGGCGGGATGATGCGGCTAAGGAAGGACCTATACTATTTTTGCTTGCTGCGGCTGGTAGGATCCAAGTCAGGATTGCAACATTAATAACATTGTTGCTTCTGGGTGGAGGGAGCGATCTGCTCTGCATATATACCAAGGGTGAAGGTTATGGAGACGCCGATTGTTTCTCAGTGAAAGCAGGACCCAATCTGTTAGGCATGGTTGTAGGGACCAATGTTACTCGTCCCGACGCGAGTGTGAAAGGGCAGATATCTGCAGAAATAAATGAAATAATAATACCGTTTTGCAGCATGGCGTGGACAAAGCAGTGTGTCTACTCGGCTAAGCATCGCCTTAAAATTTGCAGGTCTCGCATCGCCAGGTATCTGAGTTAAGCGAAATCGCAAACATGGCATGATTTGGTTCACGCTCCTTTTTGACATGGCCACAGAGTTGTGATTTTTTGGCCCCGGGATACTGTCGACGTCACGTCGAACAGGGATTGACGCCGAACAACATGACACGAGATATTTGCAGGGACGCTCGGCAAGGACGGTAACCAATGGGTCACACACCTCCTCTGCGATTTCCACAGAGTCATCGTCACTCCTGTGATATTGTTGAAGGTGAGAGGGCTGTCAACTTGTTGTGGTATTTCGAGTTCGTAAGATTTTCAGTTGTGAAGAGGCGCGGGAGGAACCAACCTCCACGGAGGGCGGTCAGGATGGAGCCATCAAGGTGAATTTCAGTTGTGGTATTTCAAGTTCGCTGGGTGCGCAATGCGCATTGAATTTCAGATGCATGTTCCCAGGATCAGCGGCCGTCCATGGTCTATCACTCTCTGCCATCTGTTTGTTCACAATTCTATACCAGACTTCAGTAAAGATCAACCTATTCATCTTCAGCCATATGGGTGTAGGTGTGATGAAGTTTGTAAGACGAGTAATGACACCAACAATGAAAATCCTATCACCTGTGGAGATGCTGATGTGCCACAAGGAGCGGATTCCTTCCTCGTTGCTGACATATACTGAGCAGTACGTTGTCGCTCGGATACTGCAGAAGAGTAGCCATACCTTGTTTCTTTGGCAGAGGAGGGAGAGGGGTCCTTGCCAGGCAATGCTGTTTGAAGTCCGAACAATAGTCGGCGCTTGTGCAAGGTGGTGCTGCACAAAAGACAGACTAACCATGCTCACACCTTTCGCGGACAAGGGCATACCAGTTCTCTTCTGTGCCACGCCCCATGTCAAGAGTCCCCCCTCCCATAGATGCCCATTTTTTTATTTCTGCAGGCTGCAGGGCTCCACCCTTCTCAACAACCAACCGTCTTATGTTCTCTTTGTTTTTGTTTTGTATTTCCATGTCAAGAGTTTTCTTATGACAACATTTCTCTTAAATCAAGTTAAATGTGTTTTTTATATATATATTTTATTCACAAGTATTTTATTGAAGATTCTGATTTGTTCTCAAGTATCCAGTTTCAGTTTTGAATAACAGTACAACGAATATATATGAGGTATTGGTGATACACATTGCACTCCCGAGCATTTTGCGTCAGGTCGCCGGTCGGTATGCTGTGCGAGGAGTGGAGTGGGGGCTGCTCCAAATGTCTATTTTCTAAGCACTATCCTCATTTCTTCTGGCCATGTTACTGAAAACAAGACTGGAATAGGAGAAATTGGTTTCCATTTGTTTATTCAGGGCAGAGAAGGTTTTTTTGAAATTTTCGTTTGGTGGGATATAACTTAGATAAGTGAGACACTGTGACTTTTTCCCTTTTTCTTTATGGGTTTCTCCTTGTTTCTTTGGTCTTTTTTTTTTTCTCAATCAACTTCAGAATGAAATTTCATTTCAAAGTCCGAACTTCGATTCAAATTACGATGATGATGATGACCTTTTTCAGATTGCCAGTTGGTTGGTTACAATACTGGATGTGGCTGTTGGGCAAATGGTACACAATATAAGTTATTATATAACCCTTGGAGGCCCAATGTCTCCTTTTTTTTGTACGAATTTGGAAAAGAAAATTCCTTGATTTTGCACTTGGCAGTCGTCCATGTGTGTGCTCCTTTGACAAGCAAAGATTTCAGCTCCTTCCTCATTGATGAAGCCAGTGGTTTGGAATCACCAAGTATATGAAAGTCTGCATATTCAATAAACGATTGTAAATTCCATGCACTCGTTTTTTTTCTGTTTTCTTTTTTTGTCTTATTTCTCTTTTGCAAGGCTCTGTTAACACGGACCAAGATGTTGATCACCCACCTTCACTACTACAGACATTATGCAAAGCATTGCGCTCACCGTCCAAGTTGCGATAGCAAGATCCGCACAATACATGCAGAACTCAATTGCAACTCGAATTGATGTACACAGGTTTCTCAAGGTCGAGCTACGGCCGCCAAGCAGGTAATCTCTCTCTCTCTCTCTCTCTCTCTCTCTCTCTCTCTCTCTCTCTCTCTCTCTCTCTCTCT